ATAGTAAAGTGATCTCTCCGTGCGTTTGTTAACATGGGTGCCGGAGGATATATATATATAGCTTTGAAACAGCCTCTTCATATTTTATAGACTTCCTTTGCCGCTTTTACAAATAAGGGTCTGGAGGCGAGGTGGAGATGTCATTATTTGTAAACACTGCATTAAGGGCGAATTTATCAAAAATACCACCGTAAAAGAAGATGAAAGGAAAATTGAATAAGAATATTTAATTCTATGATATATTACAGGACAGACTTTCAAACAGCTACGCTATATTTTACTAGTATCGCCTGAGAATCATATGTTTTTACGGCATCCATAACTAATAAATCCATAAATAAAAGTGGGAGATTTATTGATTGCTATGGTAAGTGGTGTATAAGATTTCCACTGGGTTTTAAGGAATTGAACTCATAGCTTTTGAGTTGAAAATAATTTTTATCTTAATTTCATCATAAACTTAACTGTTACTACTTGCCACATGATAAGTACATTTAAAATCTTATAGTTTGGTGTTTAAGGTTTCAATTGCCTGAAATGAAGAGGTCTTAGTCGAAGGCTGTAACTGGGCGAACATTTTATAGACTGCAAATAAAACGTTATAGGTTACAGTAATGATAGTTAAATGCTGTGATAATGTGTACAAGGAGAGCTTAATTCACACAAACAAAACGATTGGTGGGATAATATAAATCTAACTGCGCACAAGAGTTCTCAGTCATTTGTTTGCTAAAACCTTTAGACGATGTACTGAGTTTTATGGATAATTAGGACCAACCTTAAACGTATTGCATCTCAGATAGGTTCGTTGACAAAATCTAAACAGACGCCAAGCAGACAGCTCCTTATTAATTTATTAAGCGCTCATTTTATAGAGATAACGAATGAATAGCTACATTATATCACATTGTGTAAACTCGTGAAATAGCTACATTATATCACATTGTGTAACCTCGTTTGTTAAAACACGAAACACGTAGCTTAAGAAAAATTAGTACCACAGAAAATTGGCAACGAGAAACAAAAATGTTTGTATTCGTAGAGCAGAATACAGGAACAAAGGTCAAAATTGAAATAAAATAAGAAATCCAAACGAAGGAAATGATATATGAAGGGAAATGGAGGAAGTTAAAAGTGTTAAATTAAGAGGATGAAAGTCGTATGAAGCACTGCAGGTCTCCATTCCACTTGCATGTTGTACTCCGAGTTCGCAAGAAGACAAACTGTAGTCACAGGAGGAGAACACAAGTTGTTAGTTTTTGAACTTCCCATTTCTCCGCCTCTGGCAGTAACCTAGACTAGTTCAGATTTGTTCTTCAGAACAGTTCAGCCACAGCCAAAGATTTATTTCTTGTCTTTGTAACGCTGCATAAGTTTTCCAAGTCGCAAGATCGGGTGGGCGTTAGTGGTGATAGTCTTCTGCTACTAAAGATATTGAATTTGTGGGTGCAGTGTAAAGTCTAACATTCAGGCTTCATATAAAAGTTTACCTGCTTCTAAGGCTATATTTGTAGTCGCATGCGCGCCCACAAATTTGATGACCCAATAACCTTGCTTACGAAAATGAGAAAGGATAGTCTGAAAATTATTAAACGGTGACTTCAAATTCCAAAATATAAACACCTCTTTGAGGAATCCATAAATTGTATTTTTTCAACAAATATTATCAGAAAATCAAACCAAGTATGATGAGGTAGGATGGGCATGTAGCACGAATTATAGATGTGGACTGTGTGCCAAATGTTCGTCAGAAAACCTGAGGGGAAGAGAACATTTGAACGACGTAAACGTTGTTGTATTTGTAATATCAAAGTGGATCTTAAAGACTTGCTGCGACTGTGGGAGGCTCTGGTGTGGATTAATTTGAATCACTGTATGGACATACTGGAGGGCAGGTTCGTGTGAAAACTTTCTTGAATCTTTGGTTCCTAATAGGCAGAAAATTCTTGGCTAACTGAGCTATTACACTTGTTAAGTACGTGTTTGATTAAAATTGAAAGTTTTCTGTCATATTACTGAATTTCACGTGGAATATTTATCGCTTAGTAACTGATATATCAAGTTGTTTTAATAATATACAAAATGTAAAAAAATGAAGTAATTAAATTTGATCATACAGAACTCGGCACAAAAGGATAATATCGGTAGCATTTTAGATGCGGTGTGCGTCATTAAATGAATGAACTCCTAAACGAAAGTGATGCAATTTAGAACTTGCCTCAGCTTTGTACGTAATGAGTATTGGGCACTTGGGAGTAGCCGCCTATCTGTTGCGGCACAATTATGATACCAGATACGATGTAATTGTATTGAAATTAGTGTTAATACAGGGTGTAGCGGAAATATTGAAGTGTTCTGAAATTTTAATTGCATATAATTCCATCAGAGAATGCGAATATACACTTGATTTAAATATATAATACACCTTGTAGTTTAATTTACCATGGAGCGTTGGACTGGGAAAGAACTCTTGTTTACTGAGGAGCTGTTTGTTAGAACAGGTTAAATTAAAATATCTGAGCAAGGATTTCGACGAGAGTTTAATCAACGGGAAGTTCCTCCTCCCAATGAAATTCGTTGATGGATAAAACAACGGCGGGAAGAAGGGACAGCGAGAAATAAGAATCTACGAAGTTGTAGTCGTTCTGTACGTACGCCTGAGATCGTTGCTGGAGTGTTGGAATCTGTGCAACGCATACATTTTGTAGAACTGAAGTATGTAAGAGTTTCCCAGTAATTAGCTGGACGTACTGAGGAAAACTACTGTAATCTTAAGTGTTGAGCAAAATTGCTGACTACACAGCGACATTAGGCAGCTATCAGGACAGAGAAGAGCGAACACACTATGTCACGCGTAGCCGCAGAGTTTCGGCGATGTAAGTAAATTAAGTTAATTTCAGCTTTCGATATCGAGGCGTGGCCAATTGCCTCCCCCAAACCCCCCACCGCCACTGGTCGGTTAACGTCTAGTACACCATGGCGGACGTGAATTCTTTGAGGTTCCGCAACAAGGGCTTAAGTCCACAGGAAACGAGTGCTTAGGCCCTTCTTACCGACAGAAAGAACAAAAATATGTTTTGATTTTGCATGTCTCATGTTGGTAGACCTGTTTCTGGTGAAGTGTTAGATGAAGAACACAAAAATGGCGCTCATATTTTAGGACTTTTTATTTTTTTTGCAGACTATTCATCTAGAAGCCTCAGCTGAATACCTTGGGCGTAATAAGCTGATAGTCGTTCAGCAGACAAAGAAATTTCCTTCTATGAAATTTGAAGGTTAATTACTATGTTCATAAGAACTAGACATTTTGACCTTTTCCGTCCCAGAAGAGTACACTACATGCCCTTATAATGTTTGATACATATTTAATATTATTCTTCCATCTACTACTGGGTCTTACAAGTTATCTCTTTCCTTCAGTTGTCACATATTTGCAATTATATGCTCCCATAAATTCAATGCAGTATCGCAACAAGTAATTTATTTAGTAATAAATATAATCTGTTCCAAAATTAAGTCATTTTGCTTGATTTTACAACGTTTCTGCCCTATCCTGAGCTAATTGTCACTAAATTTTTACTGTTCCCACTGTAAGTCTTAAAACTCCTAAACCATCTGTCGAAGGGTGTCGTATAAAATTGTATTTTCGTGACTTCATCTTGCGGGCTTCACTCTATTATTTGACAACTTAGCATCTCGTGATTTTACTGTTCCCTAATGAAGTCTCAATTCGAACCTAATTTGCAGCGTTATCATTATGTATTGCGTTTGTTTCTTCAAAGGCTACGTACTTTTTAATATAAATGTTGCACTTGGGAGGGATTTCTCTGAAAGACTAGTTGTGATATTACCAATCAACCCCCTCGCCTCGCCTGGTATAAGGACGTCTTCCGAGAAAAGAATCCGCTTCAAAAGACCTGATGTCAACTAATTATAAACTGAGATTGGGATAAGATGACGAAGGAAAATAAGTGGGTACAGTAGTTAAAGTTGAACGTTCTTCCTTATTATTAATATATAAATTCTACACTAAAACGGAACTTGATTTGGGATTGGACGTTTATTACATGCATTGAATAGTTAGTTCATTATGTCGAAACTCAGTTGAAGATCTGTGTTTAAAACTAAGCTGTGTTTTTAAGTCACTTTACAATGAATACCATGCAGTCTGATACGTGGTTCTGTAATAATTAAGACCTTAAGCACATTGATGTTCTAAATTTTTTATATTCTTTTACCTGGTGACATGTTTCGGTATATAGTAATTTAGGGAGATCTCGACATCTGGGAGATCTCGACACTTTTAACAAATTTCACTCTAGCGACAGCTGCACTGTAGTGGCAAAGACTGTAATTGTACAGAAGATAGCCTACCATACCCAGGCCAGTTTTTGTATGTTATGCGTAATGTGGTTCAAAATATAATTAAATTGTATGAAGGTAACATATAATTAAAACACTTGTTACCAAGTGGTATAATGAAATTATGGTTAAAAGTAACAAGTTTAAAATAAAGTCATGATTAAAGTAACATAAGATTAATATGAAGTCTAATGGGATTATTGAGGCAAAGAGACGCATCTGATACATAGATATTTTACAATCATGTAAACTTTTATGGTTTACGTAAACTGCATGTGTTAATTAATAAGATCGAAGGTAGTTTTTGATGTTTCGGTTTAAAGTACCGCCTCCATTTTCATGGCGTCACAGCCAAGATGACCACTCGTAACGTTCATTGCCGCGAGGACCTCATATGGCCACATACTGTTGAGAATTTATTTAAAGTCTAAATTTCTCTACTAATACCCAGCTGATAATGCTTTGAGACCCGCTCACCATTTGTAATTTTTATGCTGATGTTTAAAAGCCAATATTTATGTGCAAAAACAATTATAATTATTCAAGTTTTCTGTGATGTCATGAGAGTTGCCTACCAAAGCCATTATTTAATTCACACTACTCAGAACACCAAAATGAGAGAAATAAAGGAGACTTACCTTTCGGTAGAGTGATGATGAGCGTACATGTGAGAAGTCGAAGCACCTGGGAAAACGGTGTCATCCTCTGTCCCTGCTACAGGTCGACTCGTTCTAATTTTGCTTCCCACCTTTGCTACGTGTTCAATTTTCGCTTACTAAAGCTTATTTTATGATCTTTAAACTTGTCATAACAGATGTCCCTTTTGTGCATAAACTCCACCGGATTTGGCAGTCATAACACATTCTTATATTCAGTCTACTCCTCACACATACACGGATTTGTAACTTAATAGAATTATACTGTTTTATATTTGCATCTTACAGATGTATCTTTCACCGAAAATAATGTAGTGTGATTTCACTACAAACTGCGCTGCTTTGTTTGAGGCCACCTGCCGGAGAGACAAAACCAACTAAAAAAAGATCACTGGTCCAGATGCTGCCTTCGCTGCAGGGTTACGAACACAAAATATTGCAAAGATGTAGTGCGTTTATGCTTATGATAGATGTCCCTGTTCTTGGTCTTGAGCCAATACAGCTTTCTTCCCTGAGAGACTAGACGAGAATGTGTTTGCATGTGGCCGTTCGTGTTACGGAGAACAGAGAAAGAAAGGAAGGCGGATAGCGAGCATAATCAAGAGGGTAGTGTAGGAACTGGGATGGGAGGAGGATGATCAATATAATATATTGTCGTAATGCGCATGTCTCAGCATCCCCGGATTCCGTGGCATCGGCAGCCTCGTATTCAGCTCGGCTCGAGGGAACATCTCCTACTTTAATCTCCATGCCCGTGGTGTGCACAGACTTTTTGTTTCAAGGAGACTGTGTTTGCCTAATGGGTCAGCCCGTCCATAAGATCCTATTACGAATAATGAATTTTCTGCTCGTGAATACACTGAAGTTGTAGACACAAAATGTTAATCATCCCGACTACAGAATGTTTTAAATTAATTTCTAATTATTTTCCAATGTTATTGGAGATAAATGTTAAGATATCGAGTACGTAGGTTATTTTACAACGTTGTTTCAGCTATAGCTGTTAACGCCAAACGATATGAGGGCGTGGCCATCAGAGACGAGTACATGGAAATAAACGTTTTTGTTATAGAATCTGAAATGTTAGAGAAGTAATATAGCAATGTTGACTTAGAAATACTAAAAAAAAATCACGGAAATCCTCAGTCATGTTTGTTGGTAAAATAACGTGGAATGAAACCGGTTATTTACCTAATATAAATATGAAACATTAATTTACATTTTCAGTGTAAAGAAAGTTGGTACCTCGATATAGTTCACGATTTGTTATTTCCTTCCAGTTGTATCCTCTGATTTGAGCCTTGAATAATTTATTCGGACAATGCAGTGTCATTTTGAACCCCACTAACGTACGAAACAACTGCATGTGAGAGTAGTAGTGACACATGTCCGAAATGTAAAATAATAAAGAACAGGAGAAATTGCCCTGTTGAATAGAATTTCGAATAAATAAATTTCACTCGTGTTATTAGTAATTATGTATCCGATTTCGATCCACAGGTTTATTTGTCGTATATAAAAGATTGAGATTCAGAACGCTAATCAACATTCCAGATTATAAGCTTCATACATGTATTAATTTTACTTCCGCGAAAATTAATGTTTGCTATTCGACAAATATGATTTTATGACATAATGGAACCGAATTCTTGAGAAGCATTTCTCTGCCCTGTATACAACCCAAACATTTAGCTGCAGAATTCATAATACCATATAACCGTGCCTGATCCTAAGCTTATTTAATCTAAATTACGACCTCATATTTCTGATGATTTCTGAAACATTTGTCAGTAGATCCTGTATACGGACTGCACAGTGCGACACCCCAGAAGACAGCCATCTTCATACTCGCCGTGAGAACCTAAAATCATACACTGTCTAATTGATGACATTCGACTTCCCTTATTTGTCATATCTAATTACGACAAGTAAAATCTATCACATTAGTCTATTGCATAATGTGAGATTAATTTTATGCGTCCTAAATGTCGCTGTTGCATGCAAAGGTTTCACTTTTTAGTGCATTTGATTTTTATTGAATGTTCATTAAGTATCGTAATATTTGTTGCTATAAATTATGCGTGTCAATAAACGTTTGAAATTCGTCTAAATAATTCAGTCCTTACCACAAAGGAAACACAACACTTCAGTATTACAAAGATCAACCGGTTAATGCTGTTTACGGATATAATTGCCGTTTCTGAGAACCATACATAATCCATAAATGCAAATGCGGGACTACTGATTATTGAAGCAGTTGAAACATTCAATTACTAATGGGCTTTAAATGGTTAGAACGTGTCCAGGGTTTCTGCAAAAATAAAAATAAAAAAAAATTGTAGCGCTAATTTCAGACTGGATGTATTTTGAACGTCTTCGTTACAATTTTCTAATTTTCTATACATTATTGAACTTGGTCTTAATTTTTGGATATGGAGGTTTATTATTAAAAATCACGTGTCACACTAAATGTAGCAATACGTAATCATAAATATTTGCTTGTATTTGACTGAATGCACACATATCAAAAATGTTTTGAAATAAAAGTTTTAGGTATTGATTGTATATTTATATGACGTACAATGTTCTTGTTTGATAAACCTGTTTTGATAAACGTAAAATCAAAATGTTAATGAAAATATAACGTTGATATCTGAAGATTTCTGATGATGGGGTATGACAGACTTAAAAACGTTTACATGGTCTAAATTATAAAACAACGTTTCGGTATCTGGACTTTGTTTCCGTCTTCGGGTAAAAAAGTTGATAAAGAACAAAATCCCTATCTGTTAGGCCCCCTGGTTGGTCTAGCATCAAACCTGGATCTAAGTTATTGTGAAGACACTATTTTCTGACTTTAAAACTGTTGTGATATCAATTCATTGTTATTTTTATAAAACAGTACGTGCACCACATCAGTAGACATTCAAAATCGTACCCAGTAGCTATCAGGAATATAACGGAATTTGTTACTTGCGTGGAATTCTAGAAATTTTGGAACATATATTGATTGTGTATTAACTAAATTCAAACTACGTACGTGGTTTAAAATTTCTATCTGAATTGTCCATTAAATCTGACCCGAGTGTTTCGCTCTAGCAAGTGGTTCTGATGCTGCGCGTAAATTCAAAGACCCGCGTTGTAAGAAGTGTTCATAATAATAGAAGTCCCAGCGCGTGTAAATACGAGGGGGAAATTCGACAAAGGACAAGACAATTATTTTTTGTGCTCTAGCGAAAGTAGTGGAATTTTACAGTTATGGCGTCTGGTCTACGTGATTTATGTCAGCTTACCGGGGGAAAACACGAATATGCAAATAAAAGACTCCTAAGTTCTATCAGATACCAATAAGATAGATGTTCAAGAAGCAAACGCACAGATAATGTACCTTATAACAAGAATGCTGGACAAATTTATAATTTAAAGTTTGTTATCAAATCATTAAAAATATGGAATAACTTAAAAATGAATATAAATCAAAATTGAATTTACTACGAATTTAAGAAAAGATTAATTATAATCCACCAGTGGTTTTTGTCCTGAAACAAATGATTCCGTTCTACATCATCCTAAGCTGTTATTTATGTCCAGTTTAATAACATACTATTATTTTCTCTCTCTTCCACACGGTAATTTCCTTATGATCTTTTTACCTAAACTTTGTATGCATTTTGCATCTCCCGTGTGTGCTACATGCCGGGCCTATCTCATCAGCCTTGTTTTGAATAATAATATTTATGTTCTGTGTCTTATATCCATTTGTTTTCGTCAGACGCTTTTTACGATTCAGGATATTTCAACTTTTTTTTAAGAATTTCCGGAGTTGCCAGATGACACCAGATCTGTTGCTACCACTGACGTAATCATCGCTCTCAGAGTCAAGAACTGGGTCCTATAACGCCCAAAGTTGTTGAGGAAATGAGCCGGGACGGGCTTCGACGCCGTCACTTCGTGCCTTGCGCGACTGTAAAAAGTCTATGGGGCAACAGCAGTTTTAAACCGATGATAGAATCTTGCAGCTTGTCTGTCATTTATTGCGGGCACTTTGAGGAACTTGTGTTTCGGCTGGCATCAACGAAGCGTGAACGCAGGCGAAAGGAAAAGTGTTGAGCTTGAGGGAGACTATGTTGAGAAATGAAAACTCAGAAACATATAACAGGCTCACAAAGTACTGAGTAAAATTAATTTTTCTGGAATTTATTTGAAGCTTTTGATATATTATATCGCGTTATAAAACGTTCATTGTATATGTACAGAGTAAAACCATCTCGTACGCGGGTCTGCCAAATTGTTTATATTGTTTAGGCAATCAACTTTTCTTTGTTTTGAGAATCATACGAAACCCATAAGTACATTTTGTGGGTAAAATGAAAAATTATTTTACCTCAATTCGTATGGTATATATAGTAACAACTTTGTTACAAGAGATGACGATCACGCCTATTCTTACTGTAGAAGTTTATTTTACGCAAATTAACCCCAGGTCACATTAGTGTCATATTATAACGCATATCTGAACGGACTTCATAAAGTTTTGGCAGCGAACCGTCATGTGTCAACGCACGACGTATTAAAATGCGCTTCTGATTTGTATATTTATAGCTCATAATTCAAATACACGTGCTTCTGTGTTTATATTCATTAATCATATTTCAGACGCAACGTCAATTTTATGCGATAAACATTTATGAGTTGTTGAACAGGTAGTCTATGACGTACTGAAAACAGAACAAACCGACGGTTGCTAACACAGCTCGTCTGACGTTGTAGCGGTATACCTTAAAGGTTTACCACGGTTGATACAAAAGGTCATCTTTGGTCACTATATAGAGGCAGTTCTGCATTAAAATTATTCTCTCGTTTTCTTATCGGTATTAAAGTCAATTTGAATGTTGTTCTTTGGGTTGTAACGACATGTGAACTTGTGGGGTGTTTTGGACATACTTGGGGGTGGAAGAGGCAGTATGTTCCCCACAACGTTACAACCCAGACGACCAACACAGATGTCTTTACTACAGTGAGAATCTTAATTTTAATTTTCCACATTCATAATGATAGATGCCATAATATTTTAATCCGTGTGTGAACTTGGTCATTAAACGGCTTTAAAGCCATCAGCATTATAAATATTAGCTTATAAATAGATGGCTGTCTTCTGGGTTATGCCTCAATCATAGCCCTCAAGATGAAGGCAACAAGTGCCTCTGAAACGTCAATAAAATTTGTCAAACTAAACGGCGCTGTAACCAAGAAGACAGTCATCTTCGTATTAGCTAAAATTTGTTAATTTCAATTTACGTTATAACTGTAAGTTTAATCAATATTTGAAAGGAGTTATCCAAAGACACAACAAGGCACGAATTCATAAGAAAGAGTTGCTATATTTCGGATTTAATTAACTTAACCGTGAATTGACGAGTAACTATGTGTCTTAAAATTTAAATCTAATTAAATTATCTTCAACTCGCATGATGCCGATTCCAGAACACGTGCAGACAGACAAATAGAGAGACGATTTAACGCATAAACAATACGGTGATTAGATTAGTTTACGTCGTTCTTAAAATAAATCGACAATGAAATTTTTTTGAACTGCGTTTTATATATCCGTCTACACCGATCCACATTTCTGACTGTTTCTATATGCAAACTAAACAGTGTTCACTCATATACACATATATGATTATGTCAGTACCATGCACCAACCTTTCCCAGTAAATTAGAATAGGGAGCAGGAATAATTCAGCGACTGGTAATTCAAATTATGCATTGTATGTCACACGTACACAGTGCTTTTAAAGCTCGTGACGAATTCGTTGTTATTTGAGGGAAATAATTTTATCATACACAGTGTAATTGTGTGGTTGTAAGATATGATATCTTACTACGAAGGAGGAAAACAGATGAAAAGCATTTGAATACAAGGAGCTTTGGAAAATATTTAGATCTGAGATCATGAAAGAATGGCATTTTGAATATTACGTAAAGAGGAAGATTGTGGTATATGCAGGATTATATTTGTCATCATCATCATATTTCCCGTCAAAAAATGACGGGAAATCTTTCGTACTACAAACAATATGTCAAATATTTTTCCGTAAGGCTCAAAATATCTCAACAACATTGACCAGGGTAACAGTTATAACATCACACACGTATAAATTATCCCGTAATATCTTGTGGATTTGCAGGTAGATACCAACATTTCGGAGAAGCATTGTACCTTCAACTTCAGGGAGAAGGATAGAGGCAGTATGTTCCTTTTGAATCATTAATATCAACCTAGAAGTTAGTGGCGGGATTTTGTGAAGAAAGTAATGATCTAACGGATTGCATAAAATGCGAGTAATTTATTGACCAGCTGAGTGTCTGTTAGCTGCTCAAGAAGGGCTCTGCTCTATGGAGTCAATCACTATTTTGTAGAATGTTCTCTCTGTTACTTTTCCAGTTCTTTTTTAAACACTTTTTTGTGATAAAATGTTCCACATTTCAAGTTGCATAATACATCTATGGTGCGCATTTCACGATTTTTATCATAATAAAGATGCTATTAAATCTTCTAGTAGAAATTAGCATATCCATCAGTCTCACACAATTTTTGAGAATCATTGATGTCATTTTAACCGTTAGGGAATTTAATGAAATTTGAGCTAAGTAATGAGCAATCTAATTAAAATCACTTTAAATGTCATGTCAAGTTAACTATCCGAATCAGAACATTTCCCTTTTCACACAGAATGTAATTTAAAATGCCATTAGCTAGCTGTATCTTTTATTAATGGGTTTTATCTACAGGAAGTGCAGTATTCCTTCTATGGATCTTGTCGTTTGGGTATTTAAGATAGTTCTCTGGGTGCTACTACTAACAGAACAAGAAACCATGGAACAGCTTGCTTTGCTGTAATAAACATGAATAATATAAAACATATGCTGTATTCTTTTTATACGGAGTGTCCCATAAGTGCCAGACTACAGAACTCGGCTATTTGACAAAATAAAACAGATCTAAAAAGATTAATGTTGTTACAAATCACGTGTTTAGAGTCAAAAATGTCGATTTTTTTTACCTAGGACGAGACGGTACGATGCTACACTTTTTACGCCATGATAGTAAAAACTACGACGATGTTGTCACGTTGACATGACAGAGAAAGAGGGACTTATAAGATTGTTGTCAGTAAACCTTTACGAAAGAGTCACTTGGTAAACCTAGACGTAGATGGTAGTATAATATTAAAGTAAATTTAAAGGAAATGAGGATTTATTTTTCTGCGAGTTTCTTAAAATGCAGTGAATTTCTTGACTGTCTAAACGTCTATCATATTTTTGTTAAGAACTCTGCTCCACTGTCATGTTTTTTATACAGCTACACACAGTTGCATTCCCTGAAGTTTTTAACAACCCGTAGACTACATATCTAAAATTAAAGCGTAACATTTGTAAAGTCTGTTATACATCTCTAAGTTTTATGGTCGGGGATAGTATGTGCGTTTTTCTTACGACACACGATTTCTGGCAGAAAGAAAACAAATGCATATTATATGCAAATCAGATACGTTACCGACGTAGAAAATGAGAGCGTGTTGCAAAGGGATGCCGCTGAGAAGTTGGAAGTTGAAGCCCCCAGCCTTTTACTTTTAATGGTTCCAGAGCGCACAGAATTTTGCCGACTGTATTACAATGAAGTTTCTGAACACTTTTTGTGATACGTTGTGAGAACTGCGCTCTTTTCAAAGACTTGAGGAAAGTTTACCAGCAAGACTTACGGATTCATAATTATACACAGTTAGTTTTAATACAACGCGATTAGGTAGTGCCAGATGACTCATTATGTTCTTCAGTGGTTGTCTGTTCCGACCAGACCTGTGACGTATTTCTACAATGCTATCCTCAACTTCCGCGTCAATCTCCCTTCTCATTTACTCTACTTCTTTAAATTCTTCCTTCTTTTCCTACACTTCATGTCACAGACCTCTAAACAAAGGAAACTTCTTCCATTTTCTCCATCACCACACTCAGATTTATTTTGTTCCACAGGCGTTCAGAGTAAGACCGGTGTAAGGAACGAGAATATTTTCTGATTCTCGATTCTTGGAAAGGCAGAAGCGATATTCTCTGTCTGGGCGGAAAATTGACTCGACTCTCAAGCAATCACCCATCTGCGCAGGCGCAAAGCCATTCTTATACGCGATATAAAAACATTAGCTGACCTCAGTTATCCATTAGTGTTTTAGCTTTATAATATTTGGTATAGTTATTGTATAATTAGTATTTTATAATTTATATAAAATTTAGTATATTAGTGGGGTCACTGGTAAAACAACAATAGTTTCAAATATCATTTAGATTCCTTCAGCGAAACATGGTCTGTCACTCTGAGGGAGGAACACGGATTGCAGGTGTTTGAGAATAGGGTGTTGAGGAGGTTACACCGGGGATTGGTTGGGAAGCCTATGGGGAAGAGACCGCTGGGGAGACCTAGACGTAGATGGGAGGATAATGTCAGACGGGATCTATGGGAGATAAGAGTTGAAGGAGACTGGATTTTGTTGGCCCAGGACAGGGTCCGGTGGAGGGCTTTGGTTAATTCGGTGAAGAACCTTCGGGTTCGGTAAGCCATCTAGTTAGTTAGTTAGTTCCTTCAGCAGTGGGACAGTCTTTAGTAAGTGGCGATAATTTATTCACTAATCGTACTGTCATCCGGAGCCAGGGTGGGGGTTGACTGACTGTCCAGCCTTCAAGTTGGTAAATGAGTGAATATGCAACAGCAGTGGAATGGTACTGTGGGTAAACTGAGGAACTCGGAGAAAAGCCTGTTCATGTACCACTTTGTTCGCCACAAGTGCCCTGTGGGCTGCCATGGGTGCAAACCCAGGCCTCCACAGTTTTAAGAAATGTATGCTAATGATGTACACTCTGAAGATTGAGGCAGTAGATTCCTGTGAAACACTGATAACCACCTACAAGACTTCATGCTATAATAACCCAGTAGAACAATACTCCAAATTTTAATCTTGGGTTTTAGGTAGGAGATTGGAAGATAAAATATTGTGAACAGAACGATAACACACGTTCCCCAAACTTGATCTGCTGTTAACTTCTTCATGAACGTTTTTATTATTTGTTACTGTCCACAGATGTTTGAAATTGCATGGGAATTGTATGTAGAAGAACATTTGCATGTATTTTAATACAGAGTGAAGCTGACGCCAACACAACACTGATCAGCAAATTAGACCTGGCAGAACAGAGACGCAAATCTCGCATCAGCAGCAGTAACAACAACAATCTAGGCTCAGATTCAGATGGAGAAGATGGAGGTGCAGGATCAGATACCTTGCTTACTATATGGATAACTAAGGGCCCACCTGCACAGCTTGATGCCCCACCTGGGAAACTCAGGTTCTTGCGATTGTTTGGACTAACTACAATTTCTGTAAGGAATGGTGAGTTAGCATAGAGGAATTAGATGAATGAGTAGTTATAGGGGTAGGAATAGGAAATGTGAGATTTGAATTCTGAACTTGCAGAAGGGTAGTAAAGTTTCTTATCAATTAAGCAGGATTAGATTGATTTATTGCCCAAAGACAAGTCCATAGGCTAATAATAAAGAGCTCTTATTAATGTCTTACGTACAGTGGACAATTAGAACTGATCAGATATGTTATACAAACAAGTTTTACTATGTTTTACTTTTATAAAATGCAGTAATTTAATTCTGTAACAGTATATTTAGAATTTATGGAACTTGGTGCAAGTTCTCATTATTGTCATTGAGTGATATTTTCTTCCCCCATGTCATGTCTGAAACAGAATTTGTTGTATTCTTATTTCTTTATGCTGTTGTGTAGGTGGCATTCCTTATTTATTTCCCTAGCCTATGTAAAATAAAATTTAGAAGTGATTTTATGTTGGGAGTGGCAGTCTTACCTTAATACAGTATTGGGTAAGAGTAACAGTCATTAGATGCTCGGACATCACTCTGTAATCACACAATAAGAACCTTCTGATTTTGATGCATTGAAATATTTATTTTGTGTATTCATTTAATTCGATTCACAGAATATGAGCTGCGCAAATTGGAACGTTGTCGTGCCCGGAGTCCTTCACTTCCACTGCAGTATGACAGCCCTCCTTCAGCTGACACCATGAGTCCACCATTGCCATTAGATTTGCCTCTTCCATGTGGAAATCCTGATGTACTCTGCAGAACACCAGACTTTAAAGGAAAGCAGCGTTTTCTTCGTAACCTTTGTTTGGAGTCTGTCTCTAAGAAGGAGCGAGAAGGTAAATTTATATGGATTTTTTATGAGGATGATAAAAAATAATTTTGGGTCAGCATAAAATTTACTTCACACTTTAAAGTTTTTAATTTACTACAAAATATTGTTTAGATCACACATTTGGATAGGATTAATGATAATCATCAATGTAAAGAGCAGCAAAATCAAACCTGACTAATTATTTCAAATAGAACTTATAAGTCACTGATATGTGCTGTTTTACTGGCTTACATGTTATACCAGCCATTTAAGTAACATTTTGCCGTATTACATGGTAGGAAATTAATGGCAAATGATCTACATATGTTCAAGGAATCATAAAATGTACCTGCTTGTACTGTTTAGTGATAGGGTAATATCATGGTAATGTGCTCAGAATGTGTTGTGAAAGTGACTTTCTTATGTCTTTTCATAGTATGTTATTATCTGACCTCAGTCAGATTTGGCAATCTGTGAAAAACACTGGTAAATGACCAAACTTGGATGCGAGAGTGAATGTGTTAATGAAATCTGAAACGGTCATTTTCGTTTAGTGTTGGAAACTCTTGAAGTGGTAATGTACTGGTAATTTCTAAGCTAAATACCATATGAGTGAATGAGAATTTACTGACCACAAACATTTTTATTGCAGAAGGAGAAGCTGTATGGCAGAATGTGCTAGCAGAGAGGTTGCGTCGAAACTCCCTCAATCCGATGGTAGTTTATTGCAGTCAGACTTTAAAACCAGGTGTTAGGGTTAACAGTACTGAAGAGAATGCCACAGACAGTACTAACAACATTCCTTCCAGTTTGGCTTCTTCTGGTGAAAAGAAATTAATCTGCACTGTGGTGAGTAAACTACAAAACAAAAATTGTAGATGTTACATACGGTGTCGACCTGTTACTTAAGAGAGCACACTAATAAAAGTTTGTTATATGACAGTTCTTAATATCAAAAATGTTGTGTTGTTTTATTTTGATAACCAAATTATGGAACATGGGTATGCCGTATAACACACTCACCAGTATAACCTGAAATTGTGTGCACTGTTGTTAATATAACATTATTAAAATTCTATTTAATGTAGGAGAATTAGTTGATGTTGGTACCTCATATATATGTCCTCACAGACCTCTGTTGCTTGGCTAAGTAACGACTGTATAAACACTGGAAAGTCATTGCTACATAGCATTGACCCCACCATGTAGATTGCCTACCTCCTAGGATAAATGTGTCTGTATGGACAGGCTGATATGGTGTTCTTTGCTGACCATAGAGTGTGAAGAACAAATGGTACTTTTTCACCATGAACTGTCTGATGTGAATAGCATACTAGATGCACTTTGATATATTGTGTAGTATTTAAAATATCCATATTATAACAAAAGCAAATTATTTGTTCTGATTAGCTATCTTTTGAGTAAGTCATGTTATGACCTTGGTTGCCTGTAGAGAGTGTTAGTTAAGTGGTAACACTAATGTCCTAAACACAGTCCATGTGCTGTTGGGTAGATTCCTTTCCACTTTATTCTCAGCATACTTAAAATCATCTCACCACTTGTTTTGAACAGTCATATTTTTTTCTGATAAAAATGAGCATGCATTTAGGTAACAGATTCGCATGGTGGAAAGGCTCGTTTGCTAGCGGGTGGATTGAAACGGTCTCTAAGTCCATCCACTTCATCAGAGAAGTCATTGCTTGTCCTGCCTTCAAATGGACAAAATGGAACAAGACCGGGTCTTGTTCATCAGCTGGCCACATTGCAGAACGGAGTGAAGAGGTTTGCAGTTGACATGGATGGAACTGAGGCATCTGTAGAGCTGTCTGAACAACAAGATGGTGGTGATGATGATGATGATGATGATGACAGACCTGTGAGGTGGCCAGGCTTGGAAAGAGTCATGGAGGCCTACCAAAAATATGCTCGGGGCAAGTTATATTTCAGTATTATATAATAATTTGTGCGCGCGTGAGCTTGCATGTATGTTTATAAACACAAAAACATTTATAAAAGAAAGTGTAAAGTAGTGTTGAGTTTATTTTTTAATATATACAGCTAAATATTATTTTCCCCTTGAACCTTCATTTGTCACAAGAGCATAATAATTTCTCTTACATGAGATGTAAATGTCTTATTAAAGGTTAGTGATAATGGATATCATTACATCAACACTGGGAATTACATATTTATATGTATAACATAATCTCTTTTAAACTGACTCTATGTAGAGTTTTAAAAAGTTGAAATATTTGGTTTTATATTATCTCTAACAGGCAGGCCAAGCCTAATATCAGGAATAATGACAGGCAAAAGGTAGGTATATAGTTTAAATAAAATAAAAATGAGGGTGAAGTATGGTAAAAGAAATAATGCTGATTTATTCTAATGGTGGGATTTTGTGAAGAAAGTAATGATCTAACGGATTGCATAAAATGCGAGTAATTTATTGACCAGCTGAGTGTCTGTTAGCTGCTCAAGAAGGGCTCTGCTCTATGGAGTCAATCACTATTTTGTAGAATGTTCTCTCTGTTACTTTTCCAGTTCTTTTTTAAACACTTTTTTGTGATAAAATGTTCCACATTTCAAGTTGCATAATACATCTATGGTGCGCATTTCACGATTTTTATCATAATAAAGATGCTATTAAATCTTCTAGTAGAAATTAGCATATCCATCAGTCTCACACAATTTTTGAGAATCATTGATGTCATTTTAACCGTTAGGGAATTTAATGAAATTTGAGCTAAGTAATGAGCAATCTAATTAAAATCACTTTAAATGTCATGTCAAGTTAACTATCCGAATCAGAACATTTCCCTTTTCACACAGAATGTAATTTAAAATGCCATTAGCTAGCTGTATCTTTTATTAATGGGTTTTATCTACAGGAAGTGCAGTATTCCTTCTATGGATCTTGTCGTTTGGGTATTTAAGATAGTTCTCTGGGTGCTACTACTAACAGAACAAGAAACCATGGAACAGCTTGCTTTGCTGTAATAAACATGAATAATATAAAACATATGCTGTATTCTTTTTATACGGAGTGTCCCATAAGTGCCAGACTACAGAACTCGGCTATTTGACAAAATAAAACAGATCTAAAAAGATTAATGTTGTTACAAATCACGTGTTTAGAGTCAAAAATGTCGATTTTTTTTACCTAGGACGAGACGGTACGATGCTACACTTTTTACGCCATGATAGTAAAAACTACGACGATGTTGTCACGTTGACATGACAGAGAAAGAGGGACTTATAAGATTGTTGTCAGTAAACCTTTACGAAAGAGTCACTTGGTAAACCTAGACGTAGATGGTAGTATAATATTAAAGTAAATTTAAAGGAAATGAGGATTTATTTTTCTGCGAGTTTCTTAAAATGCAGTGAATTTCTTGACTGTCTAAACGTCTATCATATTTTTGTTAAGAACTCTGCTCCACTGTCATGTTTTTTATACAGCTACACACAGTTGCATTCCCTGAAGTTTTTAACAACCCGTAGACTACATATCTAAAATTAAAGCGTAACATTTGTAAAGTCTGTTATACATCTCTAAGTTTTATGGTCGGGGATAGTATGTGCGTTTTTCTTACGACACACGATTTCTGGCAGAAAGAAAACAAATGCATATTATATGCAAATCAGATACGTTACCGACGTAGAAAATGAGAGCGTGTTGCAAAGGGATGCCGCTGAGAAGTTGGAAGTTGAAGCCCCCAGCCTTTTACTTTTAATGGTTCCAGAGCGCACAGAATTTTGCCGACTGTATTACAATGAAGTTTCTGAACACTTTTTGTGATACGTTGTGAGAACTGCGCTCTTTTCAAAGACTTGAGGAAAGTTTACCAGCAAGACTTACGGATTCATAATTATACACAGTTAGTTTTAATACAACGCGATTAGGTAGTGCCAGATGACTCATTATGTTCTTCAGTGGTTGTCTGTTCCGACCAGACCTGTGACGTATTTCTACAATGCTATCCTCAACTTCCGCGTCAATCTCCCTTCTCATTTACTCTACTTCTTTAAATTCTTCCTTCTTTTCCTACACTTCATGTCACAGACCTCTAAACAAAGGAAACTTCTTCCATTTTCTCCATCACCACACTCAGATTTATTTTGTTCCACAGGCGTTCAGAGTAAGACCGGTGTAAGGAACGAGAATATTTTCTGATTCTCGATTCTTGGAAAGGCAGAAGCGATATTCTCTGTCTGGGCGGAAAATTGACTCGACTCTCAAGCAATCACCCATCTGCGCAGGCGCAAAGCCATTCTTATACGCGATATAAAAACATTAGCTGACCTCAGTTATCCATTAGTGTTTTAGCTTTATAATATTTGGTATAGTTATTGTATAATTAGTATTTTATAATTTATATAAAATTTAGTATATTAGTGGGGTCACTGGTAAAACAACAATAGTTTCAAATATCATTTAGATTCCTTCAGCGAAACATGGTCTGTCACTCTGAGGGAGGAACACGGATTGCAGGTGTTTGAGAATAGGGTGTTGAGGAGGTTATTTGGGCCTAGGAGAGAAGACGATGGGACATGGAGAAAACTGCATAATGACGAACTTTAAAATCTGTACTCCTCCCCCAGTATTGTCAGGGTGATTAAGTCGAGAAGAATGAGATGGTCGGGGCATGTAGCGCGCATGGATGGGACAAGAGGTGTGCACCGGGTATTGGTTGGGAAGCCTATGGGGAAGAGACCGCTGGGGAGACCTAGACGTAGATGGGAGGATAATGTCAGACGGGATCTATGGGAGATAAGAGTTGAAGGAGACTGGATTTTGTTGGCCCAGGACAGGGTCCGGTGGAGGGCTTTGGTTAATTCGGTGAAGAACCTTCGGGTTCGGTAAGCCATCTAGTTAGTTAGTTAGTTCCTTCAGCAGTGGGACAGTCTTTAGTAAGTGGCGATAATTTATTCACTAATCGTACTGTCATCCGGAGCGACGAACTGCTGGCAACGTTGTTAAAAACAGAAATAAATAAGAAACAAAGATAGAAAAGACGGAAGAAAAACCCATGAATTTAACATCTTAGCAGCCCTGTTTTAACGCTTCAACTTCAAATTAATAATGCAAACATTTCCTTGATGCAAGCAATTTCGGGGCCTCTTCAAGAAATTAATTATGTGGTGTCTTTTTGACTTCGGTCCATGACGTGATGCTGCCGCTGTGCGTCTCCGTCATGTCCCGTGAATGATGTTCCATTTTCTGTGTCCGCCTTGTCAATTATCCCAAGCAGCAGAGGAGGCGAAAGACAAGGCGACGCTTAGCCTTGGGTCTTCTTCTTCTGCGCTTGAATGGTTCGTATTCTGGAGGCCCCGCGGAGTTCGTCTATCCTGATGGAGTGTTTCGTGGGTTTCCTGAGACCTTCCTAGTGTATACCGGGATAGTACCTTAAATTATGTTACGACCTCGTAATTGTGTGCCCTATCGAAATCAATATTCATTAAACATCCTATAATTCGACGCCGTGTATTTTGAATTACTGACAGAAAAGTTATATAAACCGTAAATAAAATTAATAAATGAAGTATTTTCTTCAAGAATGACTTCAGAAATCTCCGCCACCAAACAGAGCAGAAACTTCTCTAGAAACTTGTGATTGCTCCAATGGTCGAGAAATTCGCCATCTTTTGTAGAACCTGGAAGTATACTAGTGCTCAGAGCTAGGTTATTCTAATGACATTCGAGGATCTATAAAGGCTGTGAAATTTGTCGTGTAGCTGAGCAACTGTTAGCTTTTCATACTCTGCGCGATGCCTCCTGTAAGTGTAAAGTAAATTGTGAAGAACTGATTGGATTATAGCGATCTATTTCAAAATACTAGATGGCCTATTGAGACCAAAAAATGTAGCTCTTAATCAGCAACGAATTGTTTCAAATTTGCGTATAGTGTGGTGCCCGACGGTAATATAATTTTTGAAATGAATATCCCACAACGTAAGTAGTTTATGACAGACGGTGCTGTGTGTGTGAGGATCAAACCTGGCACTTCCGGAATATAAACACGTGGCTTTACTGCTGTAATAACACCCTCAGTCATGTGTAGTGTACACACACACATATATGCAGTGTTTAAATTGCGTATTTGTAATATGAAAATGTCCACAATACATTGATGTTTTTAATGCCTAAAAAATACAGGCTTATACTGAATATTTACGTGTACAAAACTGCGTAACAATTTATGACATGCAAGTCATGAGGAATGAGAGGCCTGATTTTAAATTATAAATGTTAATGTTTGAATATTCACAATAATGACATAACGGAGACAAAACAGTCATAACACAAAGCGATATAAATAAATTTATGTTAAACAGTTTCGAGTAATTACATGTATAAAACAAATGTCAGATCTGCCCGTAAGTGACTAAAATAAAATAATATGTATCTTTGAATAACATAAACACAATAGTTTAATATATTCCCGATAGTATAAGTCATATTCTGGTACATAATAATCTTGTTTTCTTAATGTAGGAAGTTTGTTTTATTGATGTTTATCTAATGATGCTGTCGGCTCAGACTATGTAGCGGATGATTAATATGCAGCGAACTCGATGATCTGAGCTTTCGGGATCCATAAAAGATGAATCATAACGAAATGATTTCGGTTTCCGAAGGACTCTGCTTCATTATCTTAGTTGAATCAGCATCGTTTAATATTTAAATAATGAATCATTACGTTAGGGATTCTCATTGTATAATTTTCTTCATCCTCCTATTACTTCATCTCACTTAAATATCTTAATGGACCACAGTCCTATTTGAGAAACTGATAGTAGCTTAGCTACTTAAGAAATTCTGGGTACTTCATCTCCATTAGATAAAAATATGTTAATTAGGACTTTTGTTTCTGATACGACCACTGTTTCATTAAACGCAAGGGACGAGTTATCACACCAATAGAAACAGCAGAAAAGTTATATTTTTTTCGTATTTTCATTTTAAGA